GAATCGCTTGAACCCGAGAGGCGGAGGTTGCAGTGAGCCAAGATCACGCCACTACACTCCAGCCTGGGAAACAGAATGACTCTGTCTCAAAAAACAAAAAAAAAAAAAAAAAAAAAAAAAAAAAAAACAACAACAAACAAACCCGGAGATCATGGCAGGTAGGAGGGACACAGCCGCAGCCCAAAGCTCAGCCCAGCGCCAACGCCAGCTGGCTCCTAAAGGAGACCCAAGGGAGGCTGAGCTGTGCGCACTGGCTCCCCCTAGTGGACGAGGGAGACTCGAACCCAGATGCCAGGACCCCCCAGTCACCTGGGGGGCACCGCGGGACTTTTGCCACGTTTCTGCATTTAAGGACGCTGGCAGATAGGAGGCCAAGGAACCCAGGCTAAAGGCTGGGGCTGCAAAATAGCCACCAAAGTGCGGCGTGCCCTTCATCCCAAGGACGAGGAGAGGGAGGAAAGTGGGGCCTGCCTTACTCCCTGTACCCCAGCCCCTGCGGGAGTGTCCTCACCGCCTGCCCACTTAGACTCCGCAGGACTGGGGAACAGTCTGTCCTCTGCCGGAAGGTTGCCGAAGGGTCTCCCCAGGGCTGTGAAGTGCTGTCAACGTCCTGCGTGATAGATGGGAGGAACCCACTAAGGGCAAAGGGAGTCTTGCCCCTCTGCAGGAACCGTTCGTGGGACATTCAGGGGGACAGAGGTGCCAGATTCAGTGCTGCAGGGAGGCCTCCGGTGCCCAGCCCTCACTTTCCTCTTTGCAGCCTCCCCGACCCCTCCTGCAGGCCAGGCTCTGCCAGACGTGGACTCTGAGGGCAGGCGCAGACAGGACCCTGCCACTTGCCTCTCGCTCCGGGAAAGGGTCCCCAGGCCAGCTCAGCCAGGTGCTCCCAACACGGCGTGCGTGCGGTGGACTCACTGGGGTTCTTGTTAGAGCTGCAGCCGCGGGCACCACCTGCGGGGGTCTGGGTCAGGAGGGCTGGGTGAGTGAGACCCAGGGCCCTCCTGTGTGTGGGCGTCTGAGAGCCTCAGAGCTCCTCCAAATGAGGTCTTGGGGCACAGAGAGGTTACGTGGCTGTCCCAGACCTCACAGGCAGCAGGCAGCGGGGTCCAGTCCCGGCTCCGGAGCCCCAGCCCGGTTCCTGTGGTCCTCTCCCGGCAGGAACTGAGGCAGAATGAGCGGTAGAATCATACAGGCTCGGGCTGGAGGATCCCAGCCACGCCCCCTCCTCGTGCGACCTCAGGTGTAACCTCTCTGAGCATCAACGTCCTCTTCTTTGAAATGGGGAAAATGTGGCTGACTTCACAGCGCAGTTTTTCAGTGTCTGGCACATGAGCATACGTAAGGTGCGTACAATATTGGAATCAGATTAATCACAAAAGGGGAGTTTAAAAAGTTTTTTTTTTTTTTTTTTTTTGAGGCAGAATTTCACTCTTGTCACCAGGCCGGAATGCAATGGCGCCATCTCGGCTCACTGCAACGTCTGCCTCCCAGGTTCAAGCGATTCTGCTGCCTCAGCCTCCCAAGTAGCTGGGATTACAGATGCACACCACCACGCCCAGCTAATTTTTTGTATTTTTAGTAGAGACGGGGTTTTGCCAGGCTGGCCTTCAACTCCTGACCTCAGGTGATCCGCCCACCTCAGCCTCCCAAAGTGCTGGGGTTTCAGGCATGGGCCACTGTGCCTGACCCGTTTAAAAAGATTTTAAAACAGGGCCCGGCGTGGTGGCTCACGCCTGTAATCCCAGCACTTTGGGAGGCTGAGGCTGGAGGATTGCTTGAACTTAGGAATTCAAGACAAGCTTGGGCAACATAGCAAAACCCTGTCTCTGCTAAAAATACAAAATTTAGCTGGGCACAGTGGCGTGACTGTGGTCCCAGCTGCTCAGAAGCCTGAGGTGGGAGGATCCCCTGAGCCCAAGAAGTCAAGGCTGCAGTGAGCCGTGATCGCACCACTGCACTCCAGCCTGGGCAACAGACTGAGACCCTGTTCTCAAAGCAATGAAACAAAACAAAAAACAACAAACACAAAAACAGTACTACTGGCAGCTAACATCGAGTATCTGCTAGTGCCTGGCAGGTCCTATTCTAAACAGTGAACGTGGAGCTGATACGGTGGCTCGGTCCTGCAATCCCAACACTAGGAGGCTGAGAAAGGAGGATCACTTGAGGCCAGGAGTTCCAGACCAGCCTGGGCAACACAGGGAGACCCTGTCTCAACAAATAATTGTTTTAAATTAGCTGGGCACAGTGGTGCACATCTATAATCCCGGCTATGTGAGAGGCAGAGGTGGGAGGATCACTGAGCCCAGGAGGTTGAGGCTGCAGTGAGCCACGATCTCACCACTGCACTCCAGCCTGGGTGATGGCGCAAGAACGTGTGAAGAAAAGAAAGGAAAGGAAGAAAGGAAGACAAACACTTTACGGGTATCAAGTCAGTGAATTATTGTAACAACGGAATGACGTAAGCAGCCTTGTCAGCCACATGGGGAAACTGAGGCAGTGAGGGGTTGCCTTTCTTGCTGAGAGTAATGGATGGTGAGGGGCAGAGAAGTCGAGCCCAGGCAGCCTGGCGCCATCAAGAGCACACCGTCCAGCTGCCACGTGGAAACAGGAGGAGCAGGCGAACGTTTTTTTGAGACAGAGTCTTGCTCTTGTTGCCCAGGCTGGAGAGCAGTGGTGCATTCTTGTCTTGCTGCAACCTCTGCCTCCCGGATTCAAGCGATTCTCCTGCCTCAGCCTCCCAAGTTGGGATTACAGGCGCCTGACACCACGCCTGGCTAATTTTCTTATTTTTAGTAGAGATGAGGTTTCACCATCTTGGTCAGGCTGGTCTCGAACTCCTGACCTCAAGTGATCCCCTCATCTCGGCCTCCCAAAGTGCTGGGATTACAGGCATGAGCCACTGCACGTGGCCAAGCAGGTGAACTTTTTTCCCCAAGAACTTGAGAGGTTTCTAGAACTCTAAGAACAACAAAATCTCACTCTGTCACCTAGGCTGGAGTGCAGAGGCGCCATCTCAGCTCACCGCAATCTCTGCCTCTTGAACTCAAGCAATCCTCCCATCTCAGCCTCCTGAGTAGCTGGGAGTAAAGTGTGCGCCACCACGCCTGGCTGATTTTTGTATGTTTTGTAGAGATGGGGTTCCACCCTGTTACCCAGGCAGGTCTTGAACTCCTGGGCTCCAGTGATCCACCTGCCTCAGCCTCCCAAAGTGTTGGGAAGACAGGAGTAAGCCACTATGCCTGGCCCTCTAAGGACTTTTCTAAGGTAAGTGACTGGACTCACTTTTTTGCTATGTCAAACATGTCACATGTCACATAGGGCGCCAGGATGCTGGGCCTGGTTAAACACTAGCAAGGCCGGGCCTGGTGCCTCAGGCCTGTAATCCCAGTACTTTGGGAGGCCGAGGCAGGTGGTCAGGATCACAAGGTCAGAGTTCGAGACCAGCCTGTCCAATATGATGAAACCCCATTTCTACTAAAAAGTAACAGAAATTAGCTGGGCGTGATGGCACATGCCTGTATCCCAGCTACTCAGGAGGCTGAGGCAGGAGAATCGCTTGAACCCCGGAGGGAGAGGCTGCAGTGAGCCGAGATCGTGCCATTGCACTCCAGCCTGGGCAACAGAGTGAGATTCTAAAACAAACTAACACAAACAAAATCTCACCCACCGATAGGGGAACATGTGCCGCATGGACAGTAGATGAGAAAAACTGGCAGGGAATTCTGGTAACATGAAAGGAGCTCTTTGAGCACAAAACTCTCCCTCTACAGGTATTGATCGACTTATGACCGATGCAACTTACGACCATTCGACTTTACGACCACAATCGCTGGCCACGACTGCTCCGCGTCTGGCAGCGCAAACATTGCCCAGCTGGGCGTACGACAGTGCGGACCAGCTTCCGGCAGCACTACCATCTCCGCGTGCATATAGCCTACTCAACTTACGACCAAATCGTGTTACGACCGGTCTGCCGGAACCAATCGCTGAGTCAAGCACTAGCTGTATAACCAGGAGCTGACTCGGTCTGCTGCTCTGAGAGCTCTCCCAGTGTGTCTCAGGGCCACGCACTTCAGTCCCTGGGATGACAGTGTGGGCAGCTGGTAGGAAAAGGAAGGCTCCAAGCTGCCTGGTAGGGCAGTTTTCTCTTTTTGTTTTGAGACAGGGTCTTGCTCTGCTGCCCAGGCTGAAATGCAATGGCACAAACACGTTCACTGCAGCTGGAACTCCTGGGCCCAAGCAATCCTCCTGCTTCAGCCTCCCATGTAGCTGGAGCCACAGGCGCATGCTACCACATCTGGCTAATTTTTAATTTTTTTTTTTTTTTGAGACTTATTTTCATACGTGGCCTAGGCTGGAGTGCAATGGCGTGACCTCAGCTCACCGCAACCTCCGCTTCCCAGGTTCAAGGGATTCTCCTGCCTCAGCCTCCTGAGTAGCTGGGATTATAGGCGCGCACCACCATGGCCAGCTAATTTTTATATTTTTAGTGGAGATGGGGTTTCACCATGTTGGCCAGGCTGGTCTCGAACTCCTGCCCTTGTGATCCATCCACCAAATGCTTCTTCCTAGGGAGGCCCTCCAGGAGTCCTCCCACCCCTCTCACAGAGGCAACGACCTCACCTGAGTATCCTGACCCACCTCGTGCATACCTGGGCCCCCCTGCACTGAGCCCCTCCCTCGCCTGCAGAACTCACCCAGGCGGGGCTGGGGTCAGGGCCAGTATGCAGGAACCATGTCTGTCAGTCTCTTCCCCATCCCACCCCCATCATGGGGCTCCGTGCACACAGTTTGTGCCCGATGTATACAGCCAAAATGGAAGAAAGTAGAAGATGCCCACGTGACCCAGGCAGAGCCTCCCAGGCCTCACCAGCCCCTTGAGCGCTTGCTTCCCAATACTGAGGCAGAAATCATTCCGCAGGAATGAGTCTAAATATGGGAGAAGCTGACTGACGTCGCCACATGCACAGGCTCAGCTGCCTCTCTTTCGGCTGCTCATTGGGGTTGCTGTGCACTAAAGGCTTAACTCAGCAGGCTTGGGGTGTCCAAGCCCTGCACGCTCCAAAGAGAAGCCTGGCCGTGGGCGACCTGCTCCTGGGTGGAAAGCTCTCAGCCCCTGGAAGTGTCTGCCTGGTGAGGTCTTTACACACCCGTGGCCTTGGGCCAAAACCACAGAGCTTGCGCCAACAATGTGATGAGGGGTGGGGGCCTTGGGCTGTGTTCTCATCTCAGGAGGGGCTGAAGACCGAGTGACTGAGGTCAGCCAGGTGGGTGCCCCGTGCCTACATGACGGACACATAACAAACACCCTGGGCACCAAGGCTGGGTGAGCTGCCCGGGCCAACCAGGCTCCCTCCTCCATTACACACTCTTGCTGGGAGAATCGAGTGTTGTCTGTATGAATCTGCATGAATCCACCCAGAGAGGGCAGCTGGGAGCTTGTGCTTGGTCCTCCTGAACTCAGCCTGTGTGCCTCTCACCTTTGCAGACTTCAATCTGTGCCGTGTAACAGACCACAAGAGTGAAGATAACAGAGTCCTCCAGAAAATCACTGAACATGACCAGGCGCAGGGGTTCACACCTGTAATCCCAGCACTTTGGGAGGCTGAAGCAGGCGGATCATGAAGTCAGGAGTTCGAGACCAGCCTAGCCAAGATGATGGTGAAACCCTGTTTCTACAAAAAAAAAAATTAGCCAGGTGTAGTGGCGGGTGCCTATAATCCCAGCTACTTGGGAGGCTGAGGCAGGAGAATCACTTAGACCTGGGAGGTGGAGGTTGCAGTGAGCCGAGATCTCGCCATTGCACTCCAGCCTGGGCAACAAGAGTCTGCCTCAAAAAAAGAAAAAAAAAGGAAAAACGGAACTCACTGAACCTCAGGGTGGTTCCACAGTGCGGGGGCTCAGGCCAAGGGGGGATTTTAAACAGCAGGTGCAAACCCCACAGGTGTCACAGGCCAGAACTCCTGTCCATGACCTGGGCCGGCCTTGTGACTCACCGCAGACCCCCAGGCACCCTGGAGACGGGCCCTCTGTGGTGCATGGATAGGGAAGGCCACCTTATGGACACTGAGGCGGGAAACCTCCAACCCCAGCAGGGTCCTCTCCCACAGCAACGCGTACCTGATGAGGGGCTTGAAGAGGTTCCACAGGACCTTGATGAAGCTGGTGGGGTGCACCACGTAGAGGGCCTTCAAGTTCTTCTTGTATCTGAGGAGGGAAATGGGGGATGACTTCAGGCTGCCAGGCTCCGAGAGACACCCCAAGCCCCATAACCCCAAAGCAGCGGCCTCCACTGTGGGTCTCAGCATGTTACTTCTCTCAACAGGATCGACTTAGGGACATCCAACAGAGGAGGAAATAAACTCGGGGGAAATCGGGACCCCTTCCCCCAGCAGGCGTGCCTGCAGCGCTTCACAGTTTGCAGAGGCACGCGCGCAGGTCGGAGCCCTGTTTATAGGTGGGGTGGGGGTCCGCAACCTAGGGGCAATTTGGCATCAGCTCTCAGAATTAAAACAGCAGAGCCTCTCAGCCCATGCCTCCCCTGCCGGAAGCTGACCCGGGCTAGAAGGAGCTCACCATGTTGGTTATGAGGCAAAAAACCCAGCAATAACCTAAACATCAACCGGCCAGAGGTTGGTTCAATGAAATACAGCGTCACACACAGCGGAAGGCCAGGTTAGCTTCCCTCTCTCCTTCCTCCCCAGTCTCCACGCTTCCTTCTTGAATCTTTCAGTCCAAAGCCATCAGGCTGGGCAAGAAAGGTGGGCAGCGGGTGGGGTGGGGACAGGGGCAGCTGACATGCCAGGGCTCCAGAGGGCGAGTGGGGGATGCTGTGCCCTGCTGGGGAGACACAGCCCAGGAGGGGGAAGGGGCATCCACAGGCCTGTGTGGGGTCAGCCGCAGTCCGCCAAAGCCAGTTCTTACCCACACACATGGGCTGATTGTCAAAATGTCAGGAATTTTTGGAAGCCAGGTGTGGAAAATAGCCGTTGGTAAATATGAAGTACTGTAAACTTACAATGAAATCAGTGATATTAAACACAAAGTTAATGAAAATTCAAAACTACCATTTCCTAATTCTTCTGCTACCTGTATGACTCTGTACGCTCTGAGGTTCTCTTCTGCACCTGCACGGTGGACATCTGTACGGCCGGGGCGACCACACATCTCTTCTCAGCTCTGTGTTCAGGGACATCACACTGGTGGCTTGAAGCCGGCTAGGATGGCAGGATTTACACCACGGAAACGTGAAGATGATCCTGGCCACCCTGCCAGGGGCGAGCCCTGTGGTGTGGGTACTGGTGTGAATGCATGACTCCCAATTGTGCAGGCAGATATACACATAAATCCTGATGGTGACGTATGTACGTGTGTGTTTGTGTATGTAGGTGTATGTAGATGTAAGTGTGTATGCATATGTGGGTGTATGTAAGTGTACATGTGTGTAGGGGTGTGTGTGTATATACAGGTGTATGTGTATGACAGTGTGTGTAGGTGTATGTGTGTATGTCGGTGTAAGTATATGTAGGTGTGTGTATGTGTGTAGGTGTACGTGTGTGGTGTATGTAGATATGTGTTCATAGGTGTACAGGTGTATGTGTGTGTAGGTGTATGTAGGTATGTATGTGTTCATAGGTGTGTAGGTGTATGTATGTGTAGATGTATGTAAGCGCCATGTGTATGTATGTGTATGTGCATGTAAGTGCATGTAAGTGTATTTGTGTGTATGTAGGTGTATGTAAGTGGTATGTGTATGCATGTGTATGTGTGTGCAGGTGTATGTGCATGTAGGAGTATGTAAGTGTATGTATATGTAGGGGTGTGTGTGTTGGTGTATGTAAGTGTATATGAAAGGGTGTGTGTGTGTGTGTAAGTGTATGTACGTGTGTGTTGGTATATGTAGGTGCATGTAAGTGTATGTATGTGTACGTATATACACACATACCCTAACTCTCCACTGAAAGGGGCTGGGAGCCATAACACCCCAAAAGCAACAAGCACTCCTCTCGTCCAGATCTTGGCTTCTAAATAGCATTCTCCACTACAGGGAACCGGGGCTACTGTGCTCCCTGGAGAGTGGCAGATTCCTCGGCGGGAGCAAGAAAAAGCACACCCTGCGCCAGAAAGTAAAGGAAGTGTTCAAAGAGTGACGGGGAGTGCCCGAGGAGCCAGGGGTGCTTACGGGGGCACCTACAGGTCCCCGGAGGAGCCAGGGGTGCTTACAGGGGCACCTACAGGTCCCCGGAGGAGCCAGGGGTGCTTAAGGGGGC